TTAACTCCCGCGAAGCCAATGAGAATTATTCAGGACAATTAATAGGCAACTTAACTTTTCATGAGAAAGAACGAAAATTATGACAGAAAATCCTTTTCTGACAGTGGGCCTCATTCAGCCCATTACAGTGAAATATCCAAAGGGTCAAACAGCAGAGACTGAGTCCCATTATCAAAGGCACTTTTCTTATTTGTTGTTAATGCAGTCTTACCTGACAAGGAACAACCCCCTTCATTCATGCCCTCAGGGGACAAAAATGTGAGTTGGAATAGAGTTAAGAAGTCTCTCTCTGAAGGACATTTTATCTGAAATTCCTCAGTTGACAGTAAAAATTACAAGAGGACAGTGATGGGGTTGCCTTTGAAAGCAGCTGGATTGGGGTTTACTGCAATCTCAGCCATCAAGTGTCAGACCCAAATGAGGTGATGAAAGTTATCAGAAACCAAAAGAGATTGAATTTCTCCAACTAAGGTATCTGGTGCTCCTCTGACCCCCGGTGTTAAAGAGACAGGCCAAGTTGGGTTAAGCCTTCAGCTCACCGAGGATATTCCCAGATGTTTGCAGAGCCCCTACACACAGGGACATTTTTGGGAACTCAAGAAAAGGTACCTGGGTTATTGGGGAAACACCTGTAGACCCTGCCTGTACCTGAAAGCCAATTTTCTCCTACACCGATCAATGTTAAGTTGGTCAAATTACTTAACCTGTGATTTAGTTTCCTCATCTGTAAAGTAGGCATTAATTATAGAACCTACTTCATAGGAAGGCTTTTAATCCTATATATCCTGTACATTGGATAGGTTTGAAAATTTAAAACAGTACCTGGCACATAGTGAGTGCTCAATAAGTGACAGCTATGATCATTAGGGTGAACTGTTGCAGAGAAACTAGAATTAAGGAACCAGAGTTGAAGACAGAGCTCATGTCATTTTCATCCGGGAATGCCCAGCATACAGTTTGTTCCGAGTTTGGTTTTTTTTTGGTTTTCTTTTTTACTGAATTAAATTGAAATGAAGCCAAAGTTAGCTTATCTGCAGAACAGTGCTCTTTGATGCACAGAGACATGGGTTATTTTGTTTAAAACCACTTCCGGGATCAGTAGATTTATGGTTGCACATCTGTTCCTTAATGGTTCAAAGAACCACAGTCATCATTAGAACAGAGTTGATCGTATTTTGAAAATTACCTTGATGGAAATACCATCCAGCCATCCACAATGTAATCAGAAAGATGGGGTAAAACTCCACACAGTTTTGTCTGCAGGAAAAAAAAAAAGACATGGGTTATGTTTTTGTTTTTGTAAGATTTTACTTATTTATTTGAGAGAGAAACAGAGAGAACAACAGAGAGAGCACGAGCGTGGAGGAGAGGCAGAAGCACGCTTCCCACTGAGCAGGGAGCCCGACGCGGGCCTCGATCCCAGGACCCTGGGACCGTGACCTGAGCCAAAGGCAGACACTTAACGACTGAGCCACCCAGGCGCCTCAGACAGGATTATTTTATGAGAAAACTAAACACGAAAACATTACGCTTTCATCTGGAGGTAAATGTCTAATCTCTTCTTATAAAAATATTATAAGAATTACATAAAAACTTAGATGTCTTTTCATGTCAAATGATCCTTCCAAGTAAGACTCAAACATTGTTTAAATCTCAGATCAGGGCCAGGAAGCACTTTCCTACATGTAAGCCGCCGGTATTAGGAATGAATTCTAGCTCTTTTCCAAAAGACAGACCTTGAGATGGCCCTTATTCCAAGCCTAAAATTCATTCCACATCTTCTCTAAAGAACCCAGAAAATAACACAATTTATATTAATCGGATCTCTTCCCAAAAATTCCTACACACTCACTGCCTTCCTCTTGAGTTATTCAGCAGTTAAAAATTAATTTTAAATAATTCCCCTAAAATCTCCTGAAGTAAATGAGTATTTTTCATTCCCATTTTATGGAGGAAAAAACTAAGTCCTGAGAACACAAGCTGACCGATGCCTTGCAGAGAATCCAAGGTACTGTGTCACCACCAGATTCCAAAGCTCTGTCCTAACATCAAGGCAAATTGCCTCTATTCATGGAAGACTTGGACGGAAATCTTGATACTATTTTAAGCAAAAAGGAACAGTTCTCTGGAAACGATAATTCATCTGCACCTCGCAAAGAGAAAAAAAAGATGAATTATATTCGTCCTTGCCGTGCTACGCCCCCAAGTGATCTTGGTTGGGTTGGCTGAGCTCCTTGCTGACGGTATCACACCGGAAAGAACTCTAATGTCGTCTGTAATGTCTTGAGTTGATCCTGGTGACAGGGGCATAGTGTAGAGAATTAGAAATGATTCCACATCCTTCCTTAAAGCTTGTGTACTTAAGGTTATGAGGCAACTGGCCCAGAAACAGTTGATACCGGTTCTTGAAGCCCTGTATCTTCTAGCTGAGGTCACCGTGACTGGTTTTCTTTTCTTAACTAAAAAAAAAAAAAAAAGCTGTTTTATTTTGCTTTTGCCACCAAGAGGGCAGCACAGGTGGCCCCTGAATTTCCTTCCTCCCACAGATACGCTGATTGGATAACCACACACAGAGCAATCCCCTCTGAAAGAAACCCAAAAGCCAACTGACTCCTACAGGGGAGGCAAGACGTTTAAGACTTCCGCTTGAAGGCTGGGCCCCCAAAACCCCTAGCTCTGAAAGCTAATGGGGCTTGCATCCACGGGACTTGCGGGAAGACTCTAGCAGGACCGCGGCAGGGTTCCTCCCTTCCAGTGCTCGCCGGCAGGGGCTGTGTCCCTGTGCACCTCCCCTGGGGCTCCGGGAAGTGACCCAGAAGACAGGGGGAGGGGCTGCTGAGGTCCTGGGTCAGCAGGGGTGCTTAGAAGCCATTGAGATTCAGGCAAGGGTGGGTCTGTAACTGCATTTGTGCTCCCTGTGGGTGGGCGGAGCCTGGAGCATTTGGGCAGTTCTGCTGTCCCTCTGTCCCCTGTAGGCAGTTAGTCACTGTTGGTCCCACCCTGGCCTCAGCTCTTAGTGGTGCTCATTATCCTTTGCTCCTGGCCCCACTTTTGCTCACCTGCCTTAAGCCCTAGTCCCTCTGAAAGGGGGCTCTGTCCATGTCTTAATATCACCTCTCAGAGATTGAAAATAATCTCTTACGGCCAGCCCTGGGGCCTGGCTATTTGCAGATGGTCTTCTCTATAGTTGCCTGCTGGGAATACCAGGTATTGCTTGGTCTTGACATACCTTGCATCCCATTCTGCCTGTTCAGTAGGTCCTCTTCCCGTCCCCGCCTCCAGCCCCCCCAGCATGCGACCATGTCTTTCTGCCACCACAGTTAGGTGGTTCACGCCTGGATGTGTCCCAAGACAGCTTGTTCACAGCGAGTCATCCACAAACATTGCTTAACTCAAGGGGACCAAACTCGGAAAATGTGTTCTTAACAATCTTATTGGTGACTAATTACAGTTACATTGACAAGAAAACTAAAATGAAAATCATTTCTGGTCTCTTGTGGACACGAAAGCAGATATCTTCTGTTCCCCTACGACAGGTGATCCTCAGGAAAAGTCTCCAAATGCAACAGGAAACAGTCTTCCAACTGGAAGCGGCTGTGCCCATTTCCCTTCACATGGAAGAGAGGGGGTAGCTGATTATGGCCACTGATGGACTGTCCCCTTTCCTGCATGCCCACACTGAGGGAAACGTGTCTGTCTACTCTTCCCTGGTTAGAGCCCTCTGTGCTCAATAATCCTGTGCTCTTTTGATATTTAAGTTTCCCCTAAAATGATTAGGGGAGAAGCTTTTCCTTTGTTATAGGCAGATGTCACCATATGCCTCAAAGTCTACCCAGGGACAATAACAGGAAGAGTCTGTTAGAAAGACAGTAGGGTGACCAATCCTCCTAGTTTGCCCCAGACTGAACATGGGACTTTGAATTTTATAACCAGGACGGTCCCAGATACATTATCTCGGTCTGTCCTAGGGTTTCCTGGGACGCAGAACTTTGAGTAGGAAAGCCTTAGGCAAACCAGAAAGAGCTGGTCACCAGAAAGGATGACCTGAAGGAGCCTATGGAGATGGACTCATTAAAGCTGCTGAAAGCCCTCAGGCTTCATCCCCGACCCCAAGGGAGCCTGGCTGTGGGGCCCCAGACTCATGGCCACTGCCGAGTCTCACTTGGACCCAAGGGCCAGCAGCAGTGAGGGCAGTCCCGAACTAAGTACCGTTTGACCCTGGCTCAGCATGAACTGTGTTGCTCAGTTCACCTCATTTTGGAGAAAAGAATCAAACTGTGGCCTGACAGCCAAATTGGGCAGTTCCTAAAAACACTGGTCTCCAAATTTTGTTGATTGTGTAGTTCTCATGGTTGCATAACCCCATTAAAAACAAACACATGTCCTCCTATATGTAGCACAGGTAGCTAGCTGCCCTCAAAAGTTTGTGCTGTGGAGTAGGGGCTCAGCCAGGGATTAGATTCTGGGCCGTCCTGGATTTGGGCGGGGCCATTTCCTGCCAATGGAAAGAGAAAGTAAAATATGTCACTTCTGAGCCAAATGGTTAAGAAGCGGGTGTGCCGGGCGCCTGGGTGGCTCAGTTGGTTAAGCGACTGCCTTCGGCTCAGGTCATGATCCTGGAGTCCCGGGATCGAGTCCCGCATCGGGCTCCCTGCTCGGCAGGGAGTCTGCTTCTCCCTCTGACCCTCCCCCCTCTCATGTGCTCTCTCTCTCCTCTCATCCTCTCTCTCAAATAAATAAATAAAATCTTTAAAAAAGAAAAAAAGCGGGTGTGCCAAGCTCCCTTCCCCCACACACTGGTTGAGCAGAGAGAGCTCTGAGGACATGGATGGGGGCAGACCCCTTAGATGGATGGAGCATTGGCCTCTAAGGGGCCATGTGGAAGGCCACTCCACCAGGAACCCCCATATGGGACCCTACGTGACCAGGATATAAACTTCCATTGTGTTAAGCCACTGGGAATATGGGGTTGATCAGTTAGCACAGCTGATAGAATCAACTGGAAAAGAATATCATCTACATGATAAAACACACACAAAATAGAAATTAAAGAATGAGATTTTAAGAGCAAATATAAATAGAAGCTCCCAAATTTCCTCACCCTCACAGCAGATTACTTAGTGCACCCTCAGCATGGACGCATCACTTGGGAGAATTCTGACCTTAAACTCTTCTGAATAGCTCTGCTATGGGGCGCCTGTGTGGCTCAGTCATTAAGCGTCTGCCTTCGGCTCAGGTCATGATCCCAGGGTCCTGGGATCGAGCCCCGCATCGGGCTCCCTGCTCCTCGGGAAGCCTGCTTCTCCCTCTCCCACTCCCCCTGCTTGTGTTCCCTCTCTCCTGTCTCTCTCTCTGTCAAATAAATAAATAAAGTCTTTAAAAAAAAAAAAATAGCTCTGCTATTTGGTAGATTTCTAATAAAGGCACAACAGGAGACTGTGTATGACACTCTTGTTCATAGAAAATGTGAACCAGCTACCGAAGGGAAAAACCTGATTAGCTAGAGTACCTTTCTAATAATAGAACAGGTTTAAGAAATAAAAACAGACAAGGCCACTTAAAGGAAGCTTCTTAGGAGGTTTTCCTCTTTTGAGTTTTTGTTTGCTCCTTTTTCTTTCTCCTTCTGTCCGGGTAACTCATTCAGAAGCAGTGGCCTGCCCGCTGCCATGAGCGGCTTGCTCTATTAGCAGATGACCCAGCCTCAGTCTGCTGGCTTTTGACCCTGGAAAGTCTTTTCGATTATTACACTGGCTGAGGGTCAGAGCAACAGGTTAATATGCTCAGCAAAGGTTCACGGATGAAAGGTGCTGGAGCTAATCTTTCTATATAGATTCTTAACTATCTGAATTGCTCCTTGTCGAGCAACCCTTGTGTGGGAACACCAGAGGGCAGTTACCACAGATAGCAGAAGGGCAGGATCCAACCCCCATTCAGGAGTGCTGCTGCTAAGCACCAGGATGAGCAAGCAGATAAGGGAGCGAGGCTCGCAGCTCATCCACATTCCTGCTGCTTCTCGTCCCCCCACCACCTGAGACTCAGCCAGCTTGGGTGACAGAGCTATTTAGTGTTGGCATGGACTGACCGTTGGTGTCCCTCAAAATTCATATGTTGAAGGCTTAACCTCCAGTGTGGCCGTATGTGGAGTAAGAAAGTAATTAAGGTTAAATGCGGTCAGAAGGGTGGAACCCTGATCTAATGGGATTGGTGTCCTTATAAGAAGAGACACCAGAGAGCTCTCCGACACCCCCCAGACTCACTCTGCCCAGCCCCTTCTCTGTCCTTGAGTGCACACACCAAGGGAGGAGATGGCAAGAAGGCAGCCATCTGCAAGCGAAAAGAAGAGAGCTCTCACTAGAAATCCAAGCAGCCAGAACCTTGATCTTAGATCAAGATCTTGATCTTCTAGTCTCCAGAAGTGTGAGAAAACAAATGTCTGTTGTTTAAGCCACCCAATCTGTGGTATTTTGTTCCAGCAGCCTGAGCTGACTAATACAGATGGTTTGTGGAGGAGGTTGCTACAGTTTGAAGAGCTCATCGTTTAGAGTCATTCTCTCACCTTGGGGACCCCTAGCCCTTTCTAACTCAGTGGATAAGTACACCTTAGGCTTTCAGCTAATATCATATCTAAGATGGGTGCTCTTATAAGAAAAATGGGGATATGGTTACTGTCTCTCTTTAACTTATTTGTACTTATTACAAAAATAGGTGACCCACATTACTTATAATCCCAGTGTTGCACAATACCTGAAAATTTTTCTTTGTGAATTTTCCTTTCTCCATAGTCTCTAGACATACATTAGATCCACTAGTTTTAATCTCTAAATTTCAGGATCTGAATTCAAAGTAACTATAAAAAGTAAGTGAAACAGCAAAAACAAAAAATTTACAGCTATAGCAGCGTAAGAAGAGGGTAATATTTCTAAAGAATGCCCAGATTCACGATGATTGGGTTTACTTGTGACAGCCTAATTCTGGAACAGGAACTGAAAAATTCAATATTAAGCAAATAGGGGTGCATTCAAAGAACCAAGCGAGAGGAAATTCTTCTACCTTACCCAGCACTAATGAAACCATTGTTGGGACACTACATATACTCTAGGCTTCAGGTTTAGAAATAATACGAAAAATCTTAGTCTAAAGAGAACAACCAAAAATTTTTAATGGTTGGGGGAAAAAAACTGAAGAATTATTACTACCTAGCCTCAAAATACAGAGATGAAAGATAATAATGGTCCCCAACTGTATGAAAAAGAGTGGGGTCATTAGCGGCTATTCTTCTCTTCTGGTGAGAATAGAATCAGAGGGAATGTACTTAAATTGCAACAAGATCAAGGTATTACTTGGATCTACTTTTTAGATTTATAAAAACCTCCAATCTAAAGGGATCAAGGTACTCAAATTAGACTAGATAAAATTTCCTAAGCTTAGCAATAACATGAAGGAATGGCCCTTGTTGAGA